TCTTTCCCTTCTCTGTCAATAGACAACGGAGTTGAAAGAGCTAATAGTTCCCTTATGCGGTGCAAGCTTGGCTCCACTGATGCGGCTGTGAAGGTCTGTTACCTTTCTAGTCCTTTTCTCCCAGAAAAATCGGTGCATTTTCCTTCTCAAGTGAAATTCATAGAATTGTGTTCTGTTCTCGCAGATGCGGACGTTAGAGGTTTCTGGAGCTTCCGAACATGAAATTAGGACATTTGAGTATAGTTGCTTGGGAGAAGTACGTATTTTAGGTGCCCTGAAACATGATTGTATCGTGGAGTTGTACGGACATCAGATATCATCAAAGTGGATCACCTCAGAGGATGGTAAAACACACAAACGCATTCTGCAATCTTCTGTACTAATGGAACATGTCAAAGGAGGATCCCTGAAGGTATTTTCTTAAGACTTCCTTTGTTTTGTATCAAGATTGTAAAAGTATGTGACATGAACCATCTGCAACGGTGGTTATATTGTACAGAGTCACATTGAGAAGCTCTCTGAAACCGGCGTGAAACATATGCCCTTGGAGCTCGCGTTATTGGTTGCACGAGACATCTCGGGAGCTTTAGCGGAGTTACACTCGAAGCATATTATTCACCGTGACATAAAAAGTGAGAATGTTTTGATAGACCTGGACGGTAAACGAGCAGATGGAGGAGGAGAACCTGTTGTGAAGCTCTGTGATTTCGACAGAGCAGTCCCGCTCCGTTCTTACTTGCACAGATGTTGCATTGCCCATGTCGGAATTCCACCCCCTGATGTATGTGTTGGCACCCCTCGGTGGATGGCCCCCGAGGTTTTCCGGGCAATGCACAAACGGAAATTATATGGACTCGTACGTTTTTTCCCCCCGATTCTCTCTTGCTCATCATCTGTCGTTTTCATTCTCATTTCATTGGTTCTGACTTCTCTCTCTTGCGCGTTTTCGGCAGGAGGTGGATGTCTGGTCATTCGGGTGCTTAATCTTCGAGTTGTTAACTCTACGAGTTCCGTATTTTGAATCATCTGAGCATCAAATTCACGAATCTCTCCAGGTGAAGTAGTCTCATTCTTGATCACGAATATGTTCCTTTCAAGTATGATACCGACCCTCATAACTTCGCTCTTCACTTTGTAAACAGAAGGGGGAAAGGCCGAAACTTCCGGAGGAACTAGAGGAACTGAGCTCTGGAAATGAACAATCGACGTGTGAGAAGCTTGACCTAACCGAATCTGAAATCGAAACCATCAAGTTTCTGATCAACGTGTTCCGCCTCTGCACTGAGGAATCTCCAGGATCCCGCCCAAAGGCCGAAGACCTTCACGACATGATTCTTTCGCATTGGAGAAAAAACCCAAACCAATGATCAAAAGGCGGCATTTTTTTTGTTTATCGATCTCCAGGTACTGTTTCCAACGCGAATCTTGAGCATACAATACCTTAAGTTTAACGATTCATTCCGAATTTAGGAGTAGGGAAAAGATTCCCCCAAATCTCCGGCGGATTAGGGTTTATACGAATGCGGGAGATTTGATTAGGGTTAGGAGTCCATGTGTTGTCTTCTTCCGTCTTAAGATGACATTTGTGTAGGCTGTTGTGTTTAAGATTCTGTCTGTATCATTTTTTTTTAAATTATTATTATAATGTAAGGCTCAAAATGCATCCTTTCTTTTAACTCCACACAAGGAGAAGAGAAGAGAAGAGAAACTTGGTTGATTTTTCTCATTTGCCTTTGAACCTCTTATACTTTTGGATTTATTTATTTGAAATTAAATAGTGCACATTTTACGAGTGAACTCTACGCTATGATTATCACTTAGTTAAACATGTGAAATTGGGTCATCCATCATCGCACACGTCATCTAAACCCATGCAAATGCAAATGATGTTCGTAGTTTGGATGTCCATTTCATAAACTAATAAAAAAAAATTGTTGAGAGTTGAGCTTTTCCAGTGGACGGCACTAAGTACAAAGATGAACATATACACATACATATATATATATATATGTATATATATATGCATGTTGGCGCGTGTGTGTGTGTATATATATATATAAACATGCAAAATAATGGTCCCCCCAATGGGCTTTTAACTCAGTAACTTCACTCCCCTTTTGCCTCTCATGCGTGAAGGAGGTTCCCTTTCACTCCTTGAGATGCACAAAATTCATTCGTAAAAGAAAAACAACATTTCAAGGAACCAATAGGTTTTAAAGACATCAATCCCCTGTTGACAACTTGTCGGATATTAATGATTATTACTACTTTTGGTTATGTTCTCTTCTTCTCTTTTAGTTATACATATATATATGGGTCAGTTCTAGGGTTTGGAATAATTAAGAAATATAAAATTTATACGATCTATTCTGTATATGCAAAAACAATTAATCTAATCTACATTCCAATATATATATATATATATATATATACAGATTTTTTTTGGTAAAATTTTACCCAAGATATACAGATTATTTTAATTGACATAAAACATTAGGGAGGGGTCATTTCCTTTTTCTCTTTTTTTTTTTGGTCCCCTGATTTATTTATTAGTTACATACATCAATTTATTATCGTCTTAACTCGTAACACGAGAATTGAAATATACTAATTTTCACTATGTAATAATAAAGCCAAGTAGCCTTTCAGTGACCTAGATACCTATCATCGCCACTTTGTTTTTTTTTTTGTTTAAATAAATAAGCATATCATAATCTTCCTCTCTAGCATTCATTAAAAGTCTATTTAAACCTTCGTCTCCACCTTCTTTTCATCTCTCTCTCTCTCTCTCTCCTAACACAGTCTCTATTGTGTGTGTGTGTGTCTATGTATATATATATATATATGCTTGTGAATGTGTGTGATCCCGTATGGTGAGGTGCATGTAAGCTTAAGGTGTACCGACATCTGGTGAAGCTGCCAGCATGATCTCAACTTCTCTCTCTCTCTCTTTCTCTCTCTAAATATTAGTATGAGGGAAGATCAGATCATGTGGCAGTTTCACCCGTTGATGGTTGCACCCGGCCCTAAAACCCTAAATCTGAAACCCTAATTCCCTATTTTGTTCTTCAGTATCTCCGATTACGATTCCACCATCTCACAAATCTTGAAGCAGGAGATCCAATCCACTTGTTCATAGATCTCGTCGTCGTTACCTCGTAAGTCCAATGTCATCGATCTATATATACATGTCTGCGAGTATTGGAGATTACATATATGAGTACCATTAGAATTTTGTTTCTTCACTTTGATTATAATTTCATTGTTCGTGTCTCTGTATGGTTTCAATGTTGGCAACAATATCCAACAAAGAATCTTCAGGATCTGAAGATTTTTTTTATATCCTGTGTGTATGTGTGTGTGTGTATATATATATATATATATATGAACTCCAAATCTAGGCAGATCCGATGGTCATTTTAGTGAGATAATAAAGATTTATTGCTGCAATTACCGATCTCATCAATGAGAAATACCAATAGATATTTACTTTTGAAAGGCTGATGTACAGAACGTTTTAAGTAAATGAAATATACAAATCTTTATCAAAAAAATAATATTTACACTACCAACATATGAAATGTTCAAACACTAGTATATATATATATGTTTGGTAGCTGAAAAAAATTATTCAGATTCAAGAATATGCTACTCACAAAGGGTACTTAATTGTTTTGAAGTAGATTTATTATCGAGTTGTTTGAATGATTATTAACTTGATTGCCCATTAGGGTTTTTTTTTGTGATTTATATTCTTCGCGTTTTCCTTTATTATTTATTCTTTAAATCCCAAGATCAAAGGGTTAATTAGGTTTTGTTGTCTCCTCACTCTTTTTTGCATCTTTCAAGATCCGTTAACCAATAAATATGTGTGTTTGGATGTATATATATACATATATACATGTACATATGTGTGTGTTTATATATAGGAATGTCAAACGTTAGAAGAGGATAGGGGGTGTACATGTATATATAGATATGTATGTTTCCTTTTGCTTTGGTTTGGATGTGTGTCTCGATACAGCTGAATTAGTTTCAAGACACTTATTGCAGATCAAAACCCACCATGTATATATATAATATGCTTTATTAATTTTTGTTGTATATATGTTTAGTGATGCAGGGATCTGTTCGAACAAATTTGAAATAACCACACCGTAATCAAAATATATTTTGCTATTTTTTAATAAAAACCCGAATCAAATTCAATTTGATTTATTTTATTTGATTCTCTCTCTATATATATATATAAATGAACGGTTAAATCCAAGGTAAACGAAATTAAATTCATATGGGCCCAGAGCCTGTTTACTGACATACTAGTGGGCTTTAAGGGCCCAACAAGGCAATACTACTTTTACAATAAAAAATCCAATAAAATAACAAAATAAAAAAGCGGGCTTTTTAAGCCGCAGGCACATAATAACAGTCGCAGAGAAGAAGAAGATAAAGCGAGGAAATGGTGGCGATAAATTCAACGGTCACAGTTCTCTCTCCCAAGTCCATTCCCAGAGTTATCGAATCGAAACTCGGGATTAGGGTTTCTGACCAGAGCTTCCATTTCTCTCCAAATGCTAAATCTTACGGAAAATTATGTCCGAGATTGAGGTTATCGAAGCTGGTCACGGCGGCTGGATTGTCGGAGGTCGAACCGGACATCAATGAAGATCCGATCGGTCAATTTGAGCTCAATAGTATCAGTCAGGTAAGAGTCTTAGTTAGTTCTTCGACTCGTAATCCCGATTACTTGTGTTATGTTCCGTTTCGGATAGAGGGAGCGAGAGACCGAGGTCTTCGACGATTGCTGAAATGTGATTGAGGGTGGTTTTGCATTGTCGATGATCATTTCAGGAGGACTTCAAGTATGGATACTACGACGGAGCTCATACGTTTTATGAAGGGGAAGAGGAGAAGGGTATTTGTTCTGTTCTTGTTCCAATTTCGATTTTCAGCTTGCCTCTGACGTAATAGCTTTTACCGCCATCTGATAATAGTATCATGATAACTTCACTGAAATAATGATCTCATAGACTCATCCTACCATGAACGATTGCTTATTTCAGCTTCTTCGTTTTGGATTTGGAAAGGGAATCCTAAATGATTCTCATTTCAATTCGGCTCTCAAGGCCAAATATCATCTGAGAGGCTAATACCATGAACGGGGCCATGATTTCACAACAGTTCTGCTGTGTCCATTCTTTCCTTAGCCATAATGATTTCTGTGAAATGTTAATCAACATTTCAATGGTTTCAGTGACATTTTGGGGAGCAATCGCGGATGACATCGCTGCGGTGGAACCCCCAACTGGTTTCCAAGGTACCCATTTCGCAGATGCGTTTTGAAAGAAAACCCTTTCGAGGAATCGGATTTGATGGAACTTTGCCTCCATATGCAGGATTCATTTCATGGATGTTCCTTCCTGCTATCGCCGCAGGGATGTACTTCAATGTTCCGGTGAGCGAATTCCTTCGGAAAAAACCCCAAATCTTCCCCTGATAAACGAACACGACGACGAATTCTGAGATTATAATTAAAACGTATGGAACAACAGGGGGAGTATCTGTTCATAGGAGCGGGATTATTCACGGTGGTGTTTTGCATAATAGAAATGGACAAACCAGACAAGCCTCACAACTTCGAGCCTCAGATATATAACATGGAGAGAGGAGCTCGTGACAAGCTCATCAATGACTACAACTCCATGAGCATTTGGGACTTCAACGAGAAATATGGCGACCTCTGGGATTTCACCATCAAAAAGGACGATATCGCCAAGAGATGATCACATGTCTCAGATTATCTGTTATTGTTCCTATTAGTTTTTGTCCCATATATGTATAAATTATTAAATTCTCGTGTAACATTACCGTATATAAAGGCTAAATCAGTAACAAAACGCAGCGTTTTGTGAGCCTTCCGCATTTTATTTGTGGGAAATCAAACACACGAACGTGAGGGCTGACAAAACGAGTAGCCCTAGTCTCTCTTCCTTTTGGCCCAAAAATAAAAAGACTCCGGCGATGGCGCACGGCGGCTACGGCAAGGGGAGGGTGGCGGAGCGGAAGAAAACGGCGGGAAAGGGCCGGATATTGAAAGGGTTGGGCGTGGAGAAGAAGCCTAAGCATGTCTCTTTCAAGAACCAGATTCGCTCCATCGAGCGCATGCTTCGTAAAGTACGCTCCTTTACTTTTCTACTGTCTGCTGCTGGTGTTTCCATTTTTAGGGTTTAGTGTCGATATTCCGTTCGGTTTCGGTTTTTTAGCGTGGGTCTATGGCTTTATCAGTTCTTGCTCTGTGTTCGCTTGAAATTTCTGAGGAGTTTATTTCCTCGTGGTTTTCTGGGAAAATTTCGGTTGCTCAGTGTTATGATGGAAAGATGAGGTTTTTCTGATGTCTGGGTTGGTGCATTATACGATCATATGTGTTTTCTTAGTTGATATGGAGAAGTAATATATACACACTTAGAAGGATGCGAGCTTGTTTATCAATGTAAATTTCTAATGAACCTGACATGTTTTAGTTTCTGGAGCTGGCAATGACATTCATGTGTCGGTCAATGGAAATGGGATGGTTTCCAACACTAACTTTGGGTACATTGTCTCAAGGATCTTCCTCCTGAAGTAAGAGAGGCCCAGGAGAAGAAGCTGGAAGACATTAAGAGGCAGCAAGACATCCATACCCGTCTTGCTGTGGAACGTAAAATATTCCTCAGGAACAAAAAGATTAAGTTTTTTGGTAAAAAAAATCGTTACTTCGTTGCGTAATTGGCTTGTTTGCCTCATTTTCGTGTTGCTCGAAATGGAAGAGTAAAATAGGACTTTCCTTTGTGTAGAGAGGAGAAAGATCGAAAGGAGAATAAGACGTCTTGAGAAGCTGCAATGTACTTCATCCGGCCATGTGCAGGATACCGAGATAGCTGAGCAGATTTCTAAACTGAAAGAGGACCTTGAATATGTTAGGGTAAGCTCCCTTTTGACAGTCTTCTGCAATCCATCGTTGGTACTTGGTATCTCAGTTCTCTGATAAACTTTCGAATCAGAAAAGATAGAATGCTGATGAACTAGTTGAAATTGTTTTTTTTTTCTTGCTGAAATTTTACTGTGTAAAAAATGCAGTTTTTCCCCAAAAATGAGAAATACGTCTCTCTATTTACTGGTGGGGATGATTTAGAAGTGGCTGAGCGGAGAAATGAACTGCGGAAGCAGATTAAGGCCAATATAATTGCTGCTGCTGCCAGCGGAAAAGATTTGGAAGGTACTTCTAATATGTTGATTTCCTTCTCTAAAAGTTTGTCACCCTTCTTTTTAGAACTTTCTGCTTAGTTTGCATTTCTTCTGGCTTGAATACTTTCTTGTATTTGCATTTTCACTGTCATTTTGGCTATCGACAAGCAGAGACAGGGAGTGAAGACGATGGGCATTTGGACCTGAGTGATGATGATTTCTTTCTCAACGGAAGCACAAGTGATGAAGCAGATGCTGATGAGGAGTGTACTGATAAAAGCACCAGGTACACCTTGTTTACGTGGAATGCTTTCGCCAAATGCCAATGTGTTTAAGTCTAGCTCTCCAATTTTCATCAGTCTATGAGTTGAGATATAAAAAACATGGGCTACATGATTTGAGTTTTACCTCTTTTTGGCGATAAGTACAAGTTTTATAATTGCTTTCTTTTAATCAGAGTTCACTGCTTGGTAATTACATTTTTGTGTACCTAACCAAGAGGATTCCTGACAATTGTCCACCCTTGGCCAGGGAGCCGGCTTCTAGTGCTTCTGCCAGAGCAACGTCCGGCATGTCCAGTGATGAAAGGATCCAGGTATGATGCTAGTACAGTGTCAAAGTTACTGAATCATTGGTACTTTTGTTGGAATCAATGTACTGCAAGATATATTGTCGTTTCAATAAAACTGAAAATTCTAACATGCCCGGAAGTCTAATAATCGCGATGGATGGCTGAAAATCTAGCATGTTATATGTAGAGAATGAATTAAGTCTGAGAGATGTTGGGTGTGCTTTTACTACATGACACTGCCATTCACGACGAAACCTGAGTTTCGAAATTCGATGTTACTAATCAGCTTTCCGAACACAATGCCATTTTGCAGAAGCAAAATTCTGCTAGGGCTTTAATGCCACCGCCACGATCGAGGTCTGCATCAACATCAAGGAAGAATTCATTTGCCAAAAGGGATGAGATGTCTACATCCAGCAATGCTTCAAATAGCAGAGGCGGGTCTTCACATAATGCGAGGGCCACTTCAAGTTCACGCACGGGTCAGAGTAGCAACCCGAGTTCGAATTCTGATGCTCATAAACCAAAGAGGAAGAGAAGGCCTAAGAAGAAGAAGCAGCAGGTCACTTTCTCCTCATTCTCACTCGTTTAACACTTACCATCGTGTGCTTCTTAACAGAACAAAAGGGTACTTAAATCAATCTTAGGAATCTCTGTTACTTTTGCAGGCATGATGACTTGCCACCCTACCGACATTTGAAGAAACACCAAGAAGCTCCTACCACACTTATCACTTGCCATAATTCTCCAATGTGAGCTGCAGCGATGGCCTGTATTGGTCCCCCAATGCATATAAATGGCTTAGATGAAGTGGTGAATCCAGATATAGGCGGCTGTTGTTTTTGGTCCGAACAATCCTTTGAATCCCGATATAGACTTTGTGCAAAAGCTTCTCCCTTTACGTATCTTCACGAGATTTTTGAATTTCAGGCTTTTTGTTGTTTCCTCTTTCATACATCTGCAGCTCACAAGATTCTGTACGAATGTGTGTATTGATTATGCAGAAGTTCTTACACAGATCTTGAACGCAATGGGAGAGAGAAACAGAGCCGACCTTGTCTCTCTTCACTTGACCCGGTACGTTAGATGGGCCTAATGGGCCGAGACAAATGGGCTCAGATTTTGTTGTGCCAGGGTTCTGGGCTATCTCTAACTTCCATGTAATCCTATATTCTATAATAATACAATACATATTAATATTTAGGGATTATTTTTTTATTATTATTATTCAAACTACGGATCCTATATCAAATATTAATTTTGATTTCAGGGATTGGAAACTATATGAAACTAAACAAATTGTACAATAAAATAATATAATATCTTTATTGGTGAGTGGAATCAATAAAGCGATCCACCAAATCTCAAGGACGTACTAATTTTCTTGATTCGGCAATCATCTTTGATTTTCTCCACTAAAGTTTGTGGGATCAACGGAAAATCAGATTATTCTTAATCCCCATATATATATTGATTGCCTTTTTTACACATTCATATATAAATATATAGGATGAATATCTTTGAACCCATAATAAGTTTGACTTAATTATATTATCTTTTTTTCGGCGGGATTAAAAACATCACGGTAATATAATTAATCCGTGTATCGTTGAAAGAAGAGAAAGCGTACGGGAACGAGGAGAAATAATAATCTAAGATTACGATTTTAAATTTGGGGAAATTAAAGAATAATAATTATAAAATAAATTATTAATAATTAATTAAATAAAGTAGAAGTTCTAAGCAAAGGGTGACGTGGTTAGCCCCATCACGGTGCGAAATCTGTCTAGAGTTGTACCAACATCTGGAATAACATGTGATCTTGGAGGAAGATTCCCATATATATATATATATACATTAAAAAAATAAAATATTTTGTATATGTATTTAAAATATTATAACATCATTCATAAAAATGATCAAAACGAAAATGGATTAGTCATTAAATCAAACAATGTGGTTTATTGAATTTTAAACTAATGTACTCACTGGGCCATGTCTCATGATTAATTATTAGTGTATACATCATGGGAACCAATAATGATGGTGACCATCAATATCTCGGGAACTTAAATTATAGTTCTTTTTCCAAATTGGTTATATTTTATTAAAAAAAACGATTATATTTTACTCCATCCGTTTCAAAATATTTGTAGTTTTAGATTATTATCCATGTTTCAAAATATTTATCATTTTACATTTCCAATATATTTTTTTTAAATAATTTCCAATTTTATCCTTACCAAATTCCAATACATTATTAATGATAATATTGTTTTTATTATTAAATAAAGAGTATATATGATTTTTATTTTCATTTCTTAAAAAATGTGAAATAAGTTAAAACAACAAACATTTTGAAACGGAGGGAGTATATGTTTGTTCTCTCGCAAATTTCTTAGTACGGCACTGATTATCTTGCAGGAAAAAGGGTTTTGGATAGAAATGAGAAATTAGGGCAAGGAACATAAGTAGGGCTTAAGATTATGATGTTCCCTTTTTGTATTCAGTTGATGTGATTTATCCCTTGTTATCTCTACACGTTTGGTCTCACCAATATTGCTTTGGAATTTGTGGTGACATGATCATTCCTTTGTGAATTTGATGCCCTTCATATATATATATATATATATATATATATATATATATATATATATATATATATATAGAGAGAGAGAGAGAGAGAGAGAGAGAGGACTCCTGAATGCATTCATATACCGCACTTTCATTTGTTTTTTTATGTTTACTTTTTTTCCCAAAAATATGTTGGAATCTATATATGTCGATCGGCTATGGTTTATACTATACACGCCATCAAAACAAAATTCTATATATGTGTACCGAATTTGAAGTGAGATGTGTGTGTGTATATATATGTATATATATATATATTACCCATTTCATTGTAATATTTTCTATATGATTTGATTAATTCCATATATGACAAAGTCTCATTTATAATTAAGTAGCATTATTTTATACACATCTCAAATATTACTCGTTACCTGATAGTCCAGTGGTGGAGAGATAATAAAATTATTTTCAAAATTTTGGGTTCGATTCCACTAGTAGAGAAGAATGGATACAATTAATTGCGTAACTAATTACTGACTCCAAACTTAGAAGATTAAGTAGAGGCCGAAACCCACCCAATAAACTAATAAAGAAAATGTTCTTCTGATTGAAATATTAATCCTAATATATAGCAAAATACAATAAAATATTCTATATATAATATCTAAGATAAATTATAATTATATTAATGATAATATTTTAGGAATAATATCTTCATATATTAACTTCTTAGTTATCCAAAAAAATCTCCTTCATATGGACCGAATTCGTTGTATTTACGTTATCGATATGAAGTGAATAATGCTTATAATGCTTTACTGCTTACGTGAACAGTTAATTATTGGGGTAATTAATATATATATTATATACGAAAGTTTCTAATAAAAAAAACTCAAATGATCAATGCACAAAATATTATTTATTTAATTTTTCCTTGCATAGTACCTTCCAACTTTCATACAACCCATGTCTTAGTTGACAAATATACATATATAATGTATGTATGTATGTATGTCTGTCTGTATATATATGTGTGTGTGTTCTAAGCTATATGTATAATTTAATTTCCGATTGTTGGAATAATGATTCGATTGTGATTTGTGCCTCTATATATACATACACATGCGCACACACATCGTTCTATACATACACACATATATTTGTTTGCCTTTATATTTACAAGTGAACTCTACAAATAATTATATATACTTTGACATATTTGTTTATTTATTTATCAGTATATGAATATATATACTTTATTTGGCGTGAGAATATTATACATGAATGCTGGGCTTTTAGTTGTGGGATGAATAATTGAGTCATGTGGGTATGATGTGCATAATTGGAAGGTTCCGACGAAGAATCTTACGGAAAATAAATTACAATATAAAAAATAATTAACTATAATCATAATGTTCATCTATGTTCATACACTCTCATATGAGATGTCTCTGCCTCGCCATCCAAAGAATCTCTAATTAAATAGATGCCGAAACTAAAAAAAATAATTTATTTGTTATAAACATATTTTTTTTTTAATCTATTTACGAATAATTGTGTAAATTGAAATTGGTATATAAGAGTAATATTCACCTCTTTTGCGTTGGAAATGTAGTTGACACGAGATATATTAATCTTTTTTTTTCTTTCCAATTACTCTACATTAATTCGACCGTTATCGATGCTTGTGCAATATACCGATTGCAATATAATGATGGGCTATGACGTCAAACTTTTGCAAAAGTGTTCGCTCCTTTTATTTGTTAAATTTCATATACAAGAAAATATTTTTTTAATTAAAATTTTCATGTATATGTATATACACTAACCACGAGTATCTGTAACCCTAACCCAGAGAAAAATCCGCGACGACGATGATGGTGGCATCATCAACAGCAACAGTACCAATTGAAACAATAACAATATTATATTATAAAAAATATTATATTATATAGTAGAATGTGTTTGATCAAACGGTGTAGATTCGTCCACGTGTTGAGAACCCAATAATCAACGATCTTAAATACGACATACGCAATTACACACACATGCAGCGATCCTCCTCGCACAGAGATACTTATATTATTTGGGTCTCTAAACCACTTTTCTCCTCCATTACACCTCAAGAACCTTATTGCAAAGAAGGATTTAAACCATTTTTTTTTCGAAGAAGAAGAGAACAAATATTTTCCAAGAAAATCTCAGAAAGAGGTAACATTGGAGAATTGGGAAGATATATAAATCAGGCGAAAATGCTCGGCGGCGGCGTCGATCTGAACTTGAAGGATACCGAGCTGTGTCTGGGACTTCCCGGCGGCGGAGAGACGGCGGCTCCGGTGTCCGGAAACAAGAGAGGGTTCTCGGAGACGGTGGTGGATCTGAAGCTGAATCTGAACAATGAGCCTCGTGATCACAAGGACTTAGGATCTGTCACGACAGAGAAAGATCCTTCTTCCCTTGCTGCTGTCCCTGCTGACAATAGTTCTTCTTGTCCCAAGGACCCTTCCAAACCTCCTGCTAAGTAATTTTCCGTTCGACCCTTTTTAATCTTTTTTTAACGTGTCTAATTAAGAAACTCGTAATCTCATGCATGCAACGGCTTATTAAGCGCACATACATAATCGAACGAGGCAAAACATATATCGATAATTTATCATACGTAAAAGAAATCACGCGATACAATTTACATGTTCAATTAATACAATCTTTTTGGTAGGGCACAAGTTGTGGGTTGGCCACCGGTGCGGTCTTACCGGAAAAACATGACGGCGATGAGTCAGAAAGCAAGCGGCGGCTCGGCCACGTTCGTTAAGGTTTCAATGGACGGAGCTCCCTACCTGAGGAAAGTCGACTTGAAGATGTATAATAGCTATGAAGACCTCTCTAATGCCCTGGCCAAGATGTTCAGCTCCTTCACAACGGGTACGTATACATATATGTGTGTATATATATTGAATACATACGTATAATATATATGTTGGCTTAATTTGTTGATGACGCATATATATATACACATATGTTGGGTTTGGAAAATAAATGAAGAAAAAGGAAACTATGGAGCACAAGGGATGATAGATTTCATGAACGAGAGCAAGCTGATGGATCTGCTCAACAGTTCCGACTATGTTCCCACCTATGAGGACAAAGATGGTGATTGGATGCTCGTCGGCGATGTCCCTTGGCTGTATGTCTCATTGTCTTTTCTTTTTCCCATTTTTATTTCTCTTTGGTATCAGAATTTATTATTATATACATAATACATGTGTGTTATTATTAGTATATAGAATCAGAGTATTTTTCATGCTCCAAATAATACTATTCACGTCGTGATATTGATAAAAATAAATAAATAAATCAAGCCTCAAAACCAAAATTTGAAGAAAAAAAATCCACCTTTTCGTTTGTATATATGTCTGTATCAATTTGTACATATTCATATATACATGTATTTCGTAATTACAACATATATAAATCTGATAATTGTGACAATCATTCGAAATAAATTAGTTTTGCTCCTCTCAGAATTTTGGACTCATTTGAATATTTGATATTTTTCCCCATTATAATAGTTATGATATAGTGTGCATATATATATATATATATCAAGTAAATTATTTTTCATATAGAAATATTTCTAATTACAATTAAATTTTGCATTACATGTACTGTTTAATTTGTTTACATTTTTTGTTTTAAAATTTTGGTGTTCTGTATAGGATGTTCGTTGAATCATGCAAACGCTTACGTATAATGAAAGGATCCGAAGCCATCGGTCTCGGTAAGTATTTTTCCTTAACCGAAGTACGTATACTTATGTCCTGTAAGAAATCATAGTATTTAATTTAAATTCCTCGCAATTACAGAAAAAAATATAATTTTTTTCCTTCCAACTTATACTTTTTTATGGGAAAACCCTAATTTTGTATGTCTGTGTTTTTTTGTCCTTTTATTATAAATTCCAGCCCCGAGAGCAATGGAGAAATGCAAGAACCGAGCTTGAAAGAATCCACTATATATGTAATATATATGCCATCATTATGGATTTAGTTAACACATTTATGGTGTTAATTTTTTTTCGACAAAAACATTGTTCGATTTCTACTTTAAATGTACGTGTTTTGATCTGGATTTGGTATATAGATATAGTATTATATTATATATGTTCTGAGATGCGAGACACTTGTAATGGACAAGAAGTAATAAACTTGAACCGTATGCGTCTCTTTATCTGTTTATTGCCAAGATTTAAAATTATATCCATTATATAAATATATTAAATATATCCAAAAGATTCTCTTGTTGGTTTATTGATTTCTTGGAACTTTAAGTGATAATTGGGTTTGGTTGGAGGAAGTAAATTAAATTAGAGGTTAGGAGCCATAGGAAGGGGAGCAAAGCCATGTGCATGTTGAGAACTTGAGATGTGTTTCTTAATTTTATTACCTTTGCTTATTTCCTATTTCAGCTAGCCAATAATATTTAAATAAAATGTACAAACTAGGATGATACGCAAAAAGAAATTAATTCAATATTCCTATTCTTCCAATGTCTATAATCCATAAGATATTGAGAAATCATTTCTTAAAAATGTAGATTTTTAGTCACCAAAAACATTTTCATTTATTCCTTCTATTTCAAAATATGAATAGTTTTAAGATTTTTAACATGTTCTAAGAAAATACACAAACAACCTATAATGCTCCTAGTTATCGGTTTAAAATTTTTCCAATATTCTGGTATATTCTTGTAAGGGCCATGATATTTTCTTAATTAATTGAAAGTCATATATATTATTTTACCAAAAAAATCATATATATAATAATATGGAATCTATTGGTCCTGCTTTGATTATTGGTAGTTAATGAAGCTAATCATATATACCTATGTGATTAACTTTGTCTTATTTTTTTCAACGTAGGCGGCGGTCCAAAGCAATGCAGATACCATTTTTTTTAATATAATATAAATAGCACATCATATAGAAACAGAATACAAATCCCAATGTAATTTTCATAGATCAGTATAAGCACATGGAGATGAATGCATTGCTCCAACGTCCATGTATATGTTCATACATGCATGTGTAAACACCAACAACATTTATATCACACAAATATTATATACATATATATATGTGTGTGTGTGTGTATTCTCGTGTATATGTGTATTGTATATATACTGATTTATTGGATCCGGCAGTTTTGTGGCGGCAAGAGCATGTTCAATGTTTGATGGGCCCAACTATTAATTAATGACAAGTTGGCAAAAACCTAATGACAGATTTTTTCTAATTCATTATTATTATTGGGAATAAAATAGGTAGTGGATTACTTGTCGTGCTTATGGGCTTTAGTGAATAAATATTGTTCCTTGATTTGGGCCTATGTGGCCCATTATCCTTTTCTTTAAAGGGAAAATTCTTCACGAGCCTTCTCCGGTAAACCGATGAATCAGTTCGGTTTTAGATTGGTTTCGTTCCGGTTTAATCCTCTGTCCGTGATTCGGTTTTGGAGGGTCAAACTGGTTTAGCCAAAATCATTGGCTTTTATCGGTGAAACAAACCGGTTAATATCGGTATACGGGTGGAGTTTCTGTTATTTTCTGCTAGAAAAGCATCATCTGTACATCGTAAACCGGTGAGATTCAGATAACCGGTTTGGATTTGCTTCAATTTTGAAACGGTTTGTTCTACTGAACCATCCATTTTCTTCAACGATCGGGGTAATGGCACAACAATTCAGATTTACACGACGAATTCAGAAAGGAACAAAAACCCTAGATCACCAAATTCGTTTGAGCCAGAGAAGAAATCGATCATATACCGCTGTAATCTCCACGCGCGCCGTCATTGTCGCTGCCTACGCCGGAGAGCATGGGCCCGTACGGTGATTCCAGATCGTCCACTAGATCTTCCGTTCCTCTTAGCGCAGCGTGCAGGATCACAAACAGAACGCCGAATCCGACGGTGGAGAGAGCCTTCAGCCAAACTCCGGTAGTGACGAGCGCGGCGATCGTCAGACCGATTAGAAGCACCGCTACGACGCCGTCGTCGACGGAGAAGCCGAAAATCGTGAGAGGATCCTCTCGAGCGAAGTAGAGGAAGAACCAGGCGAGTCCTACGGCGATGAATGCGAGGATGGCGATAGGGTGCGTAATTAGGGTTAGAACGAGGAGGAATAAGAGTATGAAAGAGTAATTGACGCGGAAATGGGCGAGGTTCTGTGTGACGCGCGTGGTGGCGTCGGCGACGGAAGACGGGAGGCTGAATGCGGAGAGATCTAGGAAGTCGCGCCACGGGCGAGCTGCTCCGGTGATAGACTCAGCGGTTTCTTTGAAGCCAGAGATTATATGGTTCGCCATTATTGTTTGTTTGTGTCGGAAACCTCTGAAACCCTATATTTTCTCAGACCGGAAGAAAGGTGAAGCGAGTCGATCTGTTTTTTTTTGTAACCAAATGACAGTCCAAGCCCATTGAATAAAGCCCACTTAGCTTTACTCGTTGGATATTATTATTGTTATTATATTGTTGTTGTTGTTGTTTATTATTTCATTTGTTTATACACATGTTTTGTGAAAATATGTACAAACTATAATAAGGTGTTGGAATTTCATGTCAAATGGGTAGTTCGTTCATACGAGTCCAAGAAATACAGTGGAAGGTTCCGCAATCGTTTTTAGTAAAAGTAAATAAACCTATCCAACAATTATAATATATATATATATATATATATATATATATATCACTATGCAAAAAAATATGGCAAAGTGGTAGGAAGTTTCCTAGTGTACACGTTTGTGTTATGAGCAATTAGTTAACCCAATGAGGCTAATTAGTAATTCCTCATCATTAAGTAATACACGTTTGCATTAAACTGGCAGGGAAATGAGATATATATATATATATATATATATGACAAAAAAGTTTCTTTTAAACCCTTTTGTATGGTCCGTCGTTGACTTTCGAATTCAACGTAGAAACTCTCCAATGCACCAATTGACCATGTGCTGAATATGCTTCACATGCTGCAACTTACTCGAACCCCCCAGCACACGTGACGGAATTACCGTATATAAACCATAACCCCAAAGAAAGACAAACACAGTGAGGAATATAACAAAAAAAAAGGATCGATCATGGATCCTCACTTGTTATCGCCAGATTTCCTGTTCCCAGAAGAAGGTTCTTTCTGGTACGAGGTTTTCGGAGAACGAAGCCGTGTCCCTGTTCAGAAACAGAGCGCCTTCAGACCGTACAATAAAGGCTCGCCGGCGAAGCCCG